CCAAGAGAAAAGCAGAGGAAAAGTTTTTTTCCAGCGTAACCCAATAGCATGGAAAAATTTTATGCAGAGCAATAGTGAAAAGGAGGGACTTTTTATATGGTCATGCTAAAATAATGAAAGCATAGTTACAGAAATAAACCCCAGATCTTGCCACTTGAAAATTCATTAATATTATATATCTTTGCCATTGTTCATCCATATCTTGTCTGAGTTTCTATGACTAGCTTATTCCATTTTACAGAGTATGTACTTGTGAAATACAAATCCAAACTATGAATAGCTTAAAGAGCTAGTAAGAAAACAATTACATTTTCTTTCTCTCTAACATGCAATTTTAATTTTCATAATTCTATAAAAACATATCCCCCACAATGCAGGCCTGCCAGGAGGCCTGAAATCTGCAGGCTATGGCCTCTTGGGCTGTTTTCCAATGACTCATTTTTAATTTTATAGAAGCATTATCTCTAGCTAGTAAATTAACAACAGCCTATAGTGCTCACACACTGTCATCCATCTGCTTAAGGCTCTTGTCATTTGACACCAGTCTTGTATCTATAGACTTCATCTGGTATTCAAAAGCTATCAACCCTGCCTCCAAGATAGCCCACCTTCTGGCTCCAGGCTAGAAGAGTGACTCTCCATTTCCAAGTCTAATGAACACATAGCTAGCAGCAGTTTTTTCCGTTAAGGATCTAGTCTTCTTAGCAAACAGACAATGTTGGAATTACTTGGATCCAGAACTGCATGGAAAGTGTTGAAGAGTGGCAACCTGACTTCTGTTTCTGCACTTTTTCTGTCAAGCAGAATATTCAGTGTTAACTTCTGCTTGCAGTGTGTTGGACATGATGTGTTTATGCCATTGCATTTTGAGGAGTGGAGTGTGTTAACAGATTAAATTCTTGATATTATCTTTCAATTTATGGATACCATTTCTAGAGCGTTTAGAAAAAATATAATATGTGATATCAAAACCCTCATAACTGGTATGAATCCCCCAAATGAGAGAAAACCATGTCCATTAATATATCCAACCATTATATGRTTGGAGAGGAGCAACTATTTCACAGTTGCTGAATTTTGTTTCATTCCAAATTTGGCTTCAAATGAGTTATTTTGTACTCTTGTAAATAATTTCCATGTAAACTGATGTCTTCTGTGAAGAAGTGGTAAGGATTTAACAGAAAATWGTGTCTGCTGGACAAACTTCAGTCATCACAGGACAGAAAAGGTTCACAATATTACTGCTCAATCAATGTTAGGGAAGTTATTCCAAGAGTAATTGAAGAAAAGGGGTTTGTGTTCTAGACTCAAAGGACATACTTTTTTCAGATTTTCTTTTCCAGATTATGATAGATGTAGTTGTCATGCACAAATGAGAAAAATTGACACAAGTTGTAGTTAGCGATGAAACATAGGTGATACCAGCATTAAAAAAAATCCAGGAAGGCAGGGAAGGTGATTCATCCTTCTATTTTCCTCTGCCCGCAAGCTTGGCCATTTGTTTGTGATTTTTTGGTGAAAAATTTATCTGCCATGACAGGGTTTGTTTTCAGTGTGTACCTCACAGAAAGTCTCTTATATTCACATGTCCTGTGTGCTTCCACAGGGATGGAAGGTGTTCATGGTACTTGCAAGAATTACCACTCTGAAAGACGTATGATCAACGGCAGTAACTTTGCTTTGCGGACTGTGCAAGAGCCCATACAAGTTTAACACACAAGTAATTATGCTTTAACTTATGACAGACCCAGAATAATATTCACATGTGTTCAGCTGAGGAATGAGGCTGAGAGAGACCCWAGAGGCTTAAGAAAATCAGGCTATTCTGAACCTTGATGTGAAAACAGTGTACTTAMATTTCTGTGGACTTCTGCTTGTGACCTGTGTCATGTTTCAGAAATTTAAGTTCTTAACAGTCTGCTATTAGTCATTATTTTTTACTGAGTGATCTTTGAGAGAATCAGTCTTTAACTGGTGTTTGTGGACCTTTTTTTGCTTCCTTTTGACYAGAAAGGATCAAGTTGTTTTGAGGAATATGGTAACTGTTTAACAAAAATAATGTTAACTATATATTTTACCTAATAACATTGTCAGTAATATGAGCTATTTTCTTGTAATTTATAAGAATAAAAGCAGTATTTTTAAAAWACTTTTTTAAAAGTATTTTTAAAATTCTTGTATGTGCATCAAATATGAAACTGTCCTAGATTAAGAAACATATGAGATTATCTTTGAATATTTTTTATTTTTATTTCTGTTGGGTAGTGTTTTATCAAATGCTTAACTTCAATATATAATGAGATAGTTTAAAATAAAAAAACCCTTATGCTTAGTCTTTGTAATACGTGACGACAGCATCAAATTAGAAGAGAAATGACCGTTGATTTCTACTCCTAAAGAAAATAAGATTTGTATGTAAACTGTTCAAAATAAATTGCTAATTTGCTTCCAATTATATCGTATATAAAGCATTAGTAATGGAAGCAAATTAGGCATGATTTTTATTTATACATTATCAATTGGGAAAATTGGCCCTTCACCAAATGGGCCCTTCACTCTGCAAGCATTTGCTTAATTCCTTACCTTTAGGCATCTAATTAATCCTCSTGAAGTCAGGGGGACAAATTCTCTGATTGTAGTTTATCAGCCATAACTGTCTACAGGTTTGGAGATCAAACAAAAACTTTAACTCAGCCTGGAAGGCACACAGAGAAAATGCCACAGGGTTCCAAAGCAACATGGGGATTGCMGTGCACTGTGCAAGAAATCCTTGCCAAATACATTTGGAATTTCTCAGACTTGGCTTTTGGCTGTGAAGGTCAAATAGTTTTCCAGTATCCTTCTTTAGGTAAGCAAGCAGGTGTTCATGTCTTCATTTTCCAAATGCAGGAAGTGATTTGCTGAAGGCTGCAAACCCAAGAACCTGTTACTGGAGTGATGCTTGGAACAGAGAAACTGGAAGTCTCTGCCTGCCTCGACCATGTTCCAAAGCTTCTGTCACTACCAATTTTTGCCTGTTTATAACCATTAGAGGCTTAGCAATACATACATTGTATCCCTTCTGAAAAATATTCCAAAATTATATACCTGAATTGAACTACAACGCCTGAGTAAATTATATGCTTAGAGATGTAGGTCAGAGATTAAATTGTACTTTAGGTCTTAACTGTTCCTTTTTAGTAAGAGATCATGCAACATTCACGTAGCCTTGGACGATAAATGATGTAARATGTCTAGATTGTTGACCCATTCTCTAAGAAATAACTTTGTTTTCAGCATAGACTTCCCTGTTTTTCAAGAATTTTTAGATATTTGGACTCATGTAAAAAAAAAAWTTGAACTACAGACTTCTATACATAACTTATCAAGCTATTTTTAGGTTTTCCTTAAAAAAAAATTCTAATTAGTTTCTTTTGATGATGTGTGAAATGCTGCAGTAGCAAGATGGAGGACATTGAATTTGGCCTTCTCCACCTGAGGTTTTTTTTTTTTTTTGTTGTGGCAGAAAATGTATGCCCTTCAATCTGTTCCTTAGAATCCTCTTTTGTCCATTTCTGTGCTGGAAACTTTAATAGTTTTTGTAATCTGAAATAYGTAGCTGAGTAGTGAAACAAGGCTGAGAAAACACTACTTGCAAACAATGGCTGAGTGCCCACGAGTTCTGTGATGTTTAGGACAATATATCTGTATTTTAATCAGCTGGCTGATTAAATGAAGAAGCATGCCATTGTGTGATTAATGAAAAGTGCTGGGTTTAAAGTTATGGTAACATATGTATGGGAGAGATTTAAACTGTTCTGCATAGCTATTCAAGTTTGCTATTAACATCAGCAGCACAGCAGTGAGATTGGACTGTCTGTACAACCCTCAGCATAAAGAAACACACTTTTATTCAGTGAGGGTACAATGATACTCCAAAGTGAAGGGAGCATGATTTAACTTTATATATCATGCTATGTTTCCTATTAACCACTAAGTTGTCGTTTCCATAAACCCAAATGCCTTGATAGGAAAAACAATTGYTGTAGACAGAAAAAAAGTCAGACTTTGCACAGATCAGTTCAATAAGCAGGAGTTCTTGATGTGTTATAAGGCARCGGCTTCCCAGCTCTTGGGACAAATTGCAGTTTGATTGACTGCCAATAAATGAGATCATACTCGTATCTTTTTTATTTGTTTATTTTTAATTTGTGGGCTAAGACTGTGCTCATTAAAGTGAGGAACTCCACACTTCTTTTAGCCAAGTGTTACCATATTCTATATAATGAATTGTGTACGCTTGTATCCTTTTCAGTCGTTCATCTAATTTTCCTTGGAATTGCATGAAATACTTCATTATTTGAGTATTTTTCCAATCTGTAATATTTATATTTCTGATACAAACCTGCATTTGATTGCACTCATATAGTAGATGCTTTGTCCTTTTTATATGGAAGTGAATTTGTTGCCCTTTTTTTTTGCTTTGTTTTGCTTTGTTTTGAGAGGTAAGTGAAATGATTGACCAAGTAAATGAATTAAAGTTATTCTCTGTATTTTTGGGATTTATAATGACTTCAATATATTTGAATTACTGTAGAACTTTACAGCTTTATTTTGTTTCCTGATCTTACCATAGAGTAGAATATATTCTCATTATCTATTTTTAGCAAAATAAGTAAATTTTTTCTTTGTTTCTGATTTGTTAATAGTGAAGATTTTTCTTCTTCAAATTCTGGTGGTTTATTCAGTTTATTATACTGAGAAGAAAATACTGAGAAGATCTATTCTGGTGGCAGATAGATACCAGTGGCTTAATGCCTTGGCCACAAGGCTAAGTAATATCAGATTGCTGAGGCCTGTGACAGTTAAAATATGCAGATCATGTCTGTAAATGTTTTCACTTTTGAAAATGTAAACTTTTAGCATTAATGCTGCCATTACCAGAACGTTGCTGGCATTGCTCCTGTGTTAGAAGATAATTACCTGACTCATTCCTGACATGTAATGTTTCTTTTTTCCAGGGAGGTGGGTGGATGAACACACAGTGCTCGGTGCTGAACTACTGAGGGTGGGTAAGTCCTGTTGCCTTCATTGATACTGTGTGGCTTTCAAAATATGGAAGGAGTTGATGGAGAAAGCATCTGGTAGTTCCCATTACTGGAGGAATTTGTTTATTATACTTTGCACTGAGGTTGTTCCTATTCTTGTGTGCCTGGTAAACAGTTTGATTTTTGATTGCATTTTAGGCTTTTCAGGTGACCTACATGGAAGTTCTTGTTTTGATTTCTACTGACTAAGGTGTTTCTTAAGTTATTTTCTGCATTGCCACTCTGTAAAAACATACAAAGTTCACCTTAGCTTGGAGGACTATCCCAGGTGCTATGACCCACCTAACACTTCTTAATAAATACATTTCCCAGATAGAGACTAAAGAATCTGTTGAGAGTTTTGCTGTATCTTACTTCTACCTAGATGGAGAGTTAATGCTGTAGACCTGATCTATAACAAATGGAAAGAAAAAAAGAATTACAGTGTAATCCATGGATCGTTTCTTCACCTAGGCATACACCCATTTCCCCCCTTTCTGTCCTTCATCCTTTATGGCTCTTCCTCRGTGTTGAAGATTATCTTATGCATTGCCCCAAAAGCGTTATTTTCCTCCTAATGAAGTGCCACACTTTCTTCTATGCAGTGCAGGAGTGTATGTTTGGAGCTTTGGTGGACTGCCAGCTCCATTTGCGGTGTGGAGGGGGAGGAAATGCACAGAAGTATCATCCTTTTCAAGGCTTACATTCCCTACAGAATGTATTAACAAGTCTGCTTGCTCCTGCTGTAAGAATGGTAGATCCAAAAAAGTATAAGCRTCCCTTCCCATGCCATGAGTTTCAGTTTAACTACAGTTCCTTAGTTAGACTCCATCAAAAAGAAAAGCTGAGGAACGAATCAGAAAATTTTAGAAAGTTATGAAATAAAAAAATCAAGTGACTATCAACTGGACTTTCATTAGTCCTTATTTATAACAATGAAATTGCAAATATTTAAGTAGAATAATTGAACACCCATGAAAGATGTTTTTCATTGCATATATTGATGAGTTAATGTGAAATACCTGTTTAAATCAGCTCTTTCTGTAGTTTCCTTGCCATACTCCTTAATGTTAGCAACATCTGCAATGGAATTGTAATGTGGATCAGTGCAGACTAGCACCRGTTAATAAAGAGTCAAAAACATGTTTTAGGTAACACAATCTCTTGAGTTTATTTCTTTGGATAATCTACTGATACGTTTTCAATAAAAACTTAGATTAAATACAAAAGGTATGTACAGCATGATATGTGAAGTACTTTATTTCTGGCATAGCATTTGTTTGTCCAAGATCAAATCCTACAGCTTGGTTTCCTAATCTGAGCTCCATATATTCCTTGTTTATTTAGCAGTGATGTAAAGAAGATTTGAGCTCTCATTTTGGCAGATCTAGCAAGAGAAGGACTTTTAACTTTATGTGCATCCTTATATTCAAGTAGGAAACTATGAAATCATTCAATTCAGAGGATCATTCCTTAAACATTGTTCTCAGACTGAGTAGAGATCATGAGGGAATCTTTCCTCTTAACAGTCATTTTATGTTGTCATAAAAAAAATTGAAATTTCAATAATTTCAACTGGAAGTTTTTGGATGCACTACAGACTTATTAAGCATGAACTGTAGTTTTCAGAACAATCTCAAAGATGTCCAGAAATTACAACAGAAGAAAATGAAACCATATTCCCCAGCCCCAGAGGCAATTTTGAAAATACAATTCTAGCTATTATTGGATCTTATTATCTATACAAGGGTTCTGCCTTTCCTTTGTTACTACAAGAAATACTTTTTCTGAGAGTACTTTTTCTGAAGATGCTATTTGTCCCTGGTTGATTGCCTTTGAGATGGCGGCACTTCCCATTTTATGGAAATATTACTGAGCTCCAGAAAGGCTCTAGCGGTGAACAAACAGCTGTRTAGGACACCAGGATGGTGCTACGARTYATGTAGTGTTYGAACAGGGGAAAGATGGCCTGCCTCAGTGTCTGCAAGTGTTGCCCACGAGGCTGTTAGCTTTGTGGAGTTCTGAGTAACAGGTCAGCATTTCCTACCATCCTGCAGCCGTGATAGAAACAGGCCTAGCAGTTTAACACTTAGCACTGGCTTTGTTTGCTCTGTGAGCCCTTGAAGCACTCTCACAGTTAGTGAATATTGTAGCGACAAAGAACCCACTGGTTTCAAGGAAGTGCTTTTAGGATCAGAGTTCTCTGTAGTAATTTGTGGGCCCAAACTCCCTGATAGTCAAGGTTTTAAATCAATGTAACTTTCCCCTGGTATCCAATTACAATTAGCTTTTAGTAATGTAAGAATTACTAGTAAAATCAGTATTCATTGAATCTTCAGGGGTATATATTTGTAGTTGCTGTTATCTCATGTTGTGTTTGGCCTTAGAGTAGCACCATGTCCCTGGGAGTGCAGATGCCTAAATGGGCGCTGCGAGCACGAGTGTGAGTGCATCCAGCTCTCCCAGGAGTCAGAGGTGACACAAATGTGTTCCTCAGGGATRTGTCAAATCATCATAATACAACATCTTACTGATTTAATGGGCATTTTGCTGCACTCCATGGGCCTAAAATAGGAAAGGAAAAGAACAACCAGACTTGGTGTTGTTTTGTTTCCAAGTCTTTATCTCTGCCGAGGCATAGAAGTATTCAGAGCTCACTGGACTATTTATGAGCACTGAGTAGTCTGAACGTTCAGTAACTCAGTGTGGAACCAAAAGCAGCATTGCACATGCATTGACAATATGGAGCAAAATGCACTTAGATTAAAAAATAAACARGATTGGGGGGTTTCTTGCAGACAGTAGGCTTAGCAATTTCCGAGAGGAAAATAAGCAGATTTCTGAGGTTCTGAATGCACATCTATGGGGAACCTTTTGAATTTACAGAATTWATAAATAAAATATCCCCAAACGAAGCCCTGCTTGAAGGGCTGAACATGCCAGTAGCAAGTTCTGCTTTGGACTCCAAGAGATAAAGTACGTTAGCGTGTATCAGTTAGTCTAATTTATTCAGTGTCACTGCTGTATCACAACCTTCTGTTTGATTTTCTTATAAACTAATAATTTCCTGAATGAACTAATACTACCATAGCCACTAGTACCTCTGCCTTGTAGAAGTTTTTTATTGTTGTGTATGCAACTAAATTGAAATATCTTTCACTTGAAATATTGACTTTAATATCTCATTTGAAAAATTCATGAAGCCTTTGATGTTAAATCCATACTCAATTTAGCCAAATGCCATTAGAATATGCAATATGCCTGAATACAGAGAGCATTATTGTCTGTGTTTCTGCAGAAGAATTACATTTTATGACTGTAACGTCAGGATCTTTTTTGGATTTGTTCACGAAGAAAAGAAAGAGAAAGGCAGCACATTAGAAGCAAAATGAAAAGTGGTATTGATTAGGCTCTCATTTACCCTCTCTTTGCTTGAATCCCTAAATGCATGGAAAYAAGGGTTGTGCCACAGCAAGTAACAATGCTCTGTAATGAATGGAACAATCTTTAGAAAATTAGTGTAAACACGTATGATAGTGCACAGATGTTGCTCCTAGTAACTGTCATACATTTATTTTACATCTCCATTTACATACATCTTTTTATTTCCTAATAGTATCATAATAGAAACATGACAATAGTTAATGATTTCATAAAACATGGAATGTAAAGCTGACRGAGAGGTAGAACATTAATTGAAACCTATAGCTATAGTACATTAGAATTACATCTCCTAAATGACTCCTGATAAAAATCCCTCTTTTACAGAGAAAGACAAAGACAGGTAAAAAAACTAGGCTTTCAACAAATTAATTTTTTTTTCCAGTAAAACAGACTGGCAAATGTTGCAAAATCTCCTGAGTGCTAATAGAATGGTATTTGCCTTTAGTAATTTATGGGCACTTTTCCTCCAGCTATCGATCACAGTTGAAAAAAGTAAACTGCATTAACATTTTAGGCAATAATGGCTCCAGAAAATGTTTGATTTTTATCACTACCAAAACTGATGTCATGAAACTTGGTTCTTCAGCAGAAGTGGGAGATCTGAGTGCATCCAGCCTGTAGTGTGCTTATGCAAGTGCCCAGATCTGACCGAACAAACTGAATGTTCACCAGTGTTTTGCGCTTGTTGTGTTATCCTAAAACATAAAAGGTAAATTTGATGGCACAAGGCCGGAGATTGCTGTGTGACAATGTAATGAGGCGTCCAAAGCACCCTGGGGTCTCAGAGGATTCCAATGAACGTGCTGAGGGGCTGAGGGAGAGCTGCTCTCTGTCACCATCTCCTGGCCCGTGCCTGGGACACAAACTGCCTCTGCTTCCTCTGCTGCCGCCTGTGCCGAGCCTGCTGCCTCAACCGAGGGGCAATCACAGCCAGTTTAAACAAGCTCCTACCGGAAAACCAGCGCATTTTAACATTTCCAAAGGGCAACTGGACCTTAACAAACTTATGTAGATTTACATGAAAGTGGACGGTCCAGCAAAATGCTGGACTAAGGGAGCTGAAAGCCCTGTGAAAAAATCCAAAGCATTAGTGCCTGGGATTTTATGCTCGGAATTAGGRGAAAGTGTTTTGGTCAGTGATGATGGCTCATGTTGTCAGATAGTCCCGAATGCTCTAGAAGTGTGTGCTATACCGAATGGTGGCTGGACTTGAATTTCTGCAGAATATTTATACATTATGAGAGGAAACAGTTTCAATAGTTAACACTTTTCAAATGCGAAAGTTCATATTAACACCTGAATTTACCACTTTATTATGGGGAAGCAGTGTTGTAGGATAGATTGACTTTGAAAGTGAAATTAGATTTGAAATTTCAGATTTTAGGTTAGATTTTTGGTTTTATCATAGGCCTTTACCATTTGCAGAAATCTGTGATCTACAAAAGTGAGTTTAATGAGACTTCTTATATTAATTTTATTGTAGATGACAACATATCAAAATAGACTGAGGCCTGATTTCTCTATAATTAATTTTTACMACA